ACGAGTTTGCCCACCACCACGGCCACGATTAGCGCCATCTCCACGATCAAAGCCTCCACCGGGTCTACCTTGGTTAGGCAGGCGTGTCCCGCTTGTTGGCCTAAGAAATTTTGTATATTGTAGATTTCAGTTCAAAGGGGAAAGCAAAGCTTCTCGAAGCAGAAGGAAGCCACCTTTGCATCGGCCGCCTTCCTATAACCAATTTCCTGCCAGTTGCCGTTCATATCAACAATTTTGAAAAGATCTTTCTTTGTCTTGCCATCTTGTCCCGTATAGAGGTAGTGCTCCAAAGGCACTGGGCGTTTCAACGTCGACACCACATTGATTTTTCGGTTTTTAATTCGTCTGCAAAAAACAACAATATGATTTTCAAAATTTACAATATACATTGCTAGCGAAGTTACTTACCCAACCCAATCGGCAAATTCAATGCAATTCGGCACCGTAGCTGACAACATCACAATCTTTACATGGGAGGGAAGCATTATGAGAACCTGAACAAGCACAATGACTGCTTAATAATCCGCAACTCGAGAGTGCGTGACAAAAGCCTTGGGAGCTTATGATGTACACTTCTTACGAACGCCCACTAATTTGAAAACCGCCTAAATAACTGGCAGATGTTTTGATTCTCTCCTTCCACTGCCCAGTTTCAAATGCAAACGGAATGTTCACAAACAATACCGAAAAAGGGGGTCCTATTTGAGGTTCTGTCAAAGGTTTCCTTGCTTTTTTCTATAAGCCCCGCCACAAACTTTCGTTTTTGATTCTCATTACCCACGCTCTGATTTCGTGAGATTTGCCTTGTAGTAGCTACATTGGACATACCTCCTCCCAGACATGTCCTCTCTCAGCGTTGTTAATGTAATGAACTTCGTCGAACACCACCCATTCCAAATCCCGAATAACCTCGGAACCGTTGTAGAGCATCGACCTATACAACGGAATTAGACAAAAAAGGAAATACCAGTGTGGAGTATCAAACATATAACTACTTCAAGACATCCTGCAGTCATTTGAAGGGAAGTGGGAACCAAGAAAATGAATAACGCCAACTGATGATCTTTGAATACAGATTTCAGAGTTTCACTTCCCCAACTGGCCCCGATAAAAAAGTATAGATAAAGGTTTTTAGCTTTTATCAGTACTTTGTGGGATGCGCCACGTAGTCTACTTCAAATCAGAATTGTAGTTTCATCTTGATTCCATTTGCCTTGTACAACAACTTGTGTGGCCGCTGGTGACAAACCAGTGCTTTTCCCTGATGAGTGCAGTGGCTGACCTCGGAAAGTTGAGAAGCTTAGTGGTCTGAGATATGGTAACAATTGCTATTTCTGACACCCGGATCGTGGGCGTGGTAAGCAGTGCCCTGTCCATTGCACCATATCAAGAGCCAACCCTCTCATTCACGAGTAAAAACTTAATCACGAAATCTACTGTGAAACAAGCTGAGCAAATGTTACCGTCTCGCTGGGAGAGAACTTGAAATAAGGCACGTCACTGCCCCACCGTTTGAAAACCAGGCTGGATTTCCTTTAAATTTCTTCTCGATGGCAAATTTGAATACATACCTGCCTGCGGAGACAGTTTGACCCAGGAAACATGGATACCACATCTAGTGTCTGCAGTATAAGCGCAACCGCTATGAAATTCATTTCGTACTGGTGCCTTTGGTGGCGGCACCATACACTTTCGCACGAAACGGATGTGAAATACGTATGCACAAAGGTCAAACCAAACCCGGGTATTTTACCCCATATTTCTGGCCCAATTCGCTTGGAAGGAACCGGCGAGTTTAGATTTTGGGGCAGTAAAGGATTATGATAAGTTGGTAGTGAGAAATGTCTGAAAAAGAATAGAGTTGAGACAGCTAGACCTAAGCCTCATCGAATCGAATCCCCCCCCCCGTCAGCGTGAATTGTTACTAGCGCATCCTTATTGGTCACATATCTTATAAAAAAATTCTAAGTTTTTCTTCTTTCGCCTCTGTTCAGCGAAGAGATGGTGGCCAAGCTTTCCTTGGAGATTAGGACGTGCAAATTTAGATATTATCTCGAGAAGCATGCAATTGTGGCCAGTTCTCTAGGTCACTGGAATGCCTTCTACGCTTATATGAAAGAACTTGCGAGGCGCCATAGGCGTAAAGCATGAAATATCGTCGGGCCAGCCCTTTCTGTCACTGTATGCTTCTGTTTATTAAGACAAGCGGAGTACCGGCAATGGCAGCTCTTATCACCATAATGAGTTCTCCTCTTCGCAGCGATTACCTCAAGATTTCCGTGGTCATGATGAGGCAGAAAGCTTCAGGGAACAGTTGAATATCACCGGTAACCAGACCGACATCAGTGAACATCATCTTGAAATCTCGGAATTTCTGATTCGACAACGCCTTTATAGGAGATGTGTAAATAGCCCTGAAAATAGAGAATCACTCTGAAATCTCAGCTAGAAATAAATCTTCCTTGCTAAAAAAAAACTAAAATAATTCATCAGCGGCGATTTTAGATTAGGTCGATTGTAAAAAAAACCGGAAATCAATTGAAAGCGGATAACCTTGTAACTTTGGTCAGTATAATTGATAGAATATAATACTAACCGAGTTTTATGATGCTCACATAGAGCCACTGCATACTCAGCGACCACGGTCTTTCCTGCTGATGTATGAGCAGCAACAAAAACTGACTCCCCTTTCTCCATGCAAACAACGGCAGCCTGTTGGAAGGCATCCAGCTCGAAAGGATACTGAAAGCACCGCACCTGTGCAGCTGAGTAAAAGAGCAAGACAACAAATAAGTCGCAACGGCGTTCGCAGTGAAGTGGATGTCAGATCGAGGACTGTGAAATCATCTACCTGACATCCACCTAATGAGTACTTGCGCTGAGATCAGGTTGTGTTGAGATACAGTACCATCAAAATTCACTTGATAAGAGGGTTGAAGGGAGACATTTTCAACTGTATTCAGAGAAAAATGATGAAAAGGCACCTTCTTAGCCATATTTGGCATCAACGACTTGTACTCAGTGTGGCATGACTCAGGATCGAGCTGCTTTGCATAGGCATAGCGTTCAGGAGGTGAAAATGTCACAGCAGGTTTCGGCAAATCCTTCTCGAGGGCTGCCTTCAAAATTGACAATTATTACAAGGAGTGAGTCAAACACTGGATTTTTTTGAACACGGATCGTAAAAAAATCTGCACAGGAATATACGCCACTGGCATCACATACTGACCACAATATTTTGAGTAAGATCATGAAAAATCACCAATAAGCGCTTCAAATGGTAGGTCTATGGAAGAAATACTCACTAGAAATACGCTCATCGCGCGCTCTCCACGTTCTCTAGAAAAATTACGAGATTCAACATCCACGCTATCCTCGCAGTACAATTCTAGTATGTTCCACGTCCAGCGATCATTCACAGATTTGTACCGCTTATAGCTCACGAGAAAGTGTACTGCAGAGCCTGAGCTATATTCTGGTGGGCGCTCACAAATTTCCTGGAACGATCCACGGATCGGCAGTACGCGCGACGGAATTGATCTGCAGAATTGCTAGCTTCACGCTGACGGATTCGTAGCAAGACGTTTGGCCAAACTCACATTTCGTTCACTTTACCTTTACGCGCGACGTTTTTCGTGTTTGGAAGCGNAGGTCNGTATGAGCTATNGGGCCCGAAAAAGAATTCAATCATTGCCGGTGATGAAATCATCGAAGGTTCAAAGACTACTGATGTGAAAAGTTTTTAAAAGTGGTCAAATAGCATGGTCGTCACTGGTTTAAACTCAAACACCAACTCAACTAGCCGTTACACTTTTCTGCCATCATTCTGCCATTAACTGACGGAGGGAGAGAATGATTCCCGAAAATGCCATGGAAACCGTTGCGGTGCACAATGGCGTGCAAAAGAAAGAGTGAAGAAGAACTCCAAGGGACGATCATACCAAAATCTCTCTTTTTTCCTGCAGGTCAGTAAGCAAACCATGTAAATGGAACAAAACAATCATTCAGAAAGCTAATTTAAAATGTTTTGATGATACCTGGACGTCTTCCATAACAGGGGAATCCGGCTCCTTTGGCTCAAGGGTTATTTGCGGCTCTTCAGGGCTTTTTTCTTTTTCCATGGAAGAAGTCTCAGCAGGCAGTATCAAAGGAGCGCCTGTGAAATGACCATCGTTAGTATTGTGGGCATGACTTGCAGCCCCAAACAAATGCAGACCTCCACCAACGAAGTCCATGAGGTCAAACAAGTCGGCAGAGTCAAAATCTATGGTTCCATCTTGTTTTACGGTGTCAGCTCCAGTGGCAGGTTCTTCCTTATTATTAGAGCACGCAGGTAGAACAAGGTCCAACCCTCTCTTCATTCCAGGTGCACACGAAAGCAGATCTGAAAGAGTAGTTCAACGCAATTTAAAGAAAAAAATGAGAGATTACAAAGCTGACCTTCGCGACGGAAAAATTCGTTCTCATCGCATTCAACGTTTTCTTCGCTGCCAGTGATGCCATCACGTTACCAAACGCACTATCAAAACCACCTAGAACTCAGCTCTTGGCAAATAAAACTTTCACTACTGCTGGAAAAGAACTGATTTTCTACCTGGATAAAACGGCACATTACTAGAAGAGCCCTTGATACTGGTTGTGTCATTGGCAGGCGATCTTAAAAGATGTCTATTCAGGGTTGTGCTACCGACAAATTTGACAATTTCCTCGCGGGATTATCTGTTTTAACAGTGAAAATAATGGCTATGCGTCGAAGGTATTACGTTTAAAGGACGAATTCACGATGAAAAAGCAACCCATTTCAAATTAACCTAGGGATGGTGAGTGGTACACGAAAGAAGGAAGAACCATGAGAAACGGCCCAGAACCCGAGAAATGGGACCCCTTCCTTGCCCGTTGATTTGAGCATTGATGCGACTCTCATCGCTGTCTTCAACACTACGCTCTCTCAGCTATCTAATCACTCGCCACGTATTGAACTACGGCGAGTGATCAGATGATCGGTGGGCGGAGATCGCCGGACCCGCCAGCTTTGAGGCATGATAGGTCGCCGAGGTCAAATTTTTCCATGCGAATTGCGCGTCAGTTCGCACCCTCAGGAGGTCCGTGGGTCCCTCAACTAGGTCAGTTTCCCTTTCTTCGACCTTCATTCTAATCGTGAATTCCTCCTTTAAATGAATTTGCTATGAACCTTTAGTAGCAAATTCCACGTCGAAAGTTTCGGCAACACGGCGCCTTTTCAATGTTCATTGCTTCCCCTCCCATGATTAGGGACAACCGTTTGTTCGCGCCATTCGAGCGGGGTGTGAGAGAGGAGAGGGCTAGTGTCTGCGATTTGGAGAGGGGTTTTATATGGAGTTACTCGGGGTTGAACAAGATCTATCATATTTGGAAAAGTGCGAACGGTAGAAGTTGAAGGAGTCGTTGTCGCGGAAATGTGGTCATTTTTGAAGGTTTTTACCATGATATCGGCAAAAAGTTCGCGAACAAAGCACAGAATAGAGGAATATACAGGGGTTGCGGCTCCATTGGACATATCCATACCTTCCACGCTCGCGGCGCTTCAGGAAAAAAGTGGGCGAGTGAGGTGCCGACTGGACTCAAAATCAAATATCATAGAAGCAGCCATGATAAGGACGGTGGTGGTCGGAGTGGGGAGAGGTCGCATTGGGGGAGCCTCCTAAGACATCGAGACCCTCCTAAAGGGGGGGGGGTCGCATAATATTGAAAAGCGCGAAGACAAGGTTGACTATGGCCCTCGATACGTAAGAGTTGGATCTTTTGTGAGTGGGACTGTCTGTACCGATAGTTCAGCATTGCATGTGCTTTTAAGGGTTCTAACTAGATCTTTTCGTTACTGATCAACCAATTCACATCTTCCAACTAGACAATTGTGGAATGTGCCTTGAACAAAGAGACGGTAAAAGCCGAACCTGTTTAATGCCATTGAGACAGAGGAAGCGCCAAACTCGCCCGGATCTCTGACATATTCAACAACATCGCTAAATTTTCCTTCTGCATCTATTAATGGACACAGCAGCGTTGCAGGCTCACTTGGCCGAATGATGCCTTCCAGGAGGGATAACGGATCCACGGATACCTTCTCAGGATTCAAGCTGAACAATTAATTATGAACAGTTCTTAGATGGTCACAACCTTCGCATAATGAAGGGACTCACTCATATGTATCAAGAGCGGAATATTCACCAGAAGATAAAGATAGTGATTCAATACACACGGAACGTAGTACATAATCGGCGGCGTCGCGAAGTTCGTCTGCGCTCATGGTGTACTCCTTACCACCTTAAAGCTCAAAAACGGTGCATAGCATTTGCTGCACAACGCCGCATACATTTAGACTATCGAAACATGGCCGTTGACAAACAGATCTTCTCAGCCCCAAACCAGTCTAAACTTCGCAGCGCTGAAACTCCCAGGACGAGACAGTTTCACTTAGCTTGCTCAGGATCAATAAGTAGGAACGGTAAAAGACGAGCTTTCACAGCTTCACCTGATTTTGCTATGTCACCGACACCACTTCTATTTGGAAACCACAAGCGTTATCGACGTTTTTCCAACAAACACAGCTTTTCAGAAAATGCTTCATAGTGCACGCTAATGGAAGGAAATGGGTGAAGACTACCAAGTGACCAGAACTGATAGGGTAAGGTGAACTCCTTCGTTTGTGATAACTCAATTTCAGAGTCTTAGTCTTGAATTTATATCGAATCGCACTCCAAATGGAACTGTCATGGACAAAACTGGTTAATGCTCCAGATGTCGCGGCTCTGGCTGCTACAGTGAGCTAATCTCCCCGATTCGCGCGAATCGCACGACGGATCGCAGACTATGACACCAGTCGAACAAGATACAGGCTAGCTAATTCCAGACTGGCGCTCCTTCCCATCACGTTATTCATCATCAGTTAACGAAAAAAGCAAGTCCGCCTACTCCACTAGCTCTAAGCATAGCCAATGAAAATTCAGGTCTAGGTAGAAACCTCAGCAGATCTGTATTGCGCTACTACCTTCTAATAATGAGAGAAACTCTTCGGAGACTTCGCTTTTCAAGAGACGCTTATTCAAAAATATAGACGAGAACATGTGCAAAGAAATACTAACAAAGTTGTCGACTACAACAAGATTATTGAATGAAAACTGTGCTAGTTAAGCAATATTTATTACCCTATATGTCTACGACAAAGACCAAGTTAGAAATTAGAAGCAGAATTTGGATAGACACGATCACGGCACCAGTTGAAACTCTAAAGTTAATTTTACAACGCATGCTTCCTCAGATTAAAGTAACAATAAATAACAAAATAACAACGAGAAGAATCCGCTTGTAACTGAGAAAAATCACAGATAGATCAGATGGCCACAACGCAGCAAAACATGTCATGTCAAAACTTTCAGAACATGTCCCCCATAAGGAAATTCAAAACTCGGTCGATAGTGTAACAGGCGACGAGATCGAAAGCAACACAGTAGACAAGGATGTCTCGCATCTGAAATAAAAGGAAAATGCTATTTGCTCAAAAATCCTCGCTTCACTGATCACTAATCCACACAATTGCACTCCTAGGTAAAAATGAAAGATGTTTGATTAGGTTTTGATAGATCGTGCTAAGATGCGCCGCGTAATTGACCACAACTCAGAATTATTCTGAACTGTACAATTCTGGATTGAGCTTCTGTGATTGTATTCTGGTGAAGCAAATAGACGACGAACTTGAGCCCTATGCCACCTTCAGTAATGAGCATATTCAGGAAATCAAAACAGTGTGAAGTGGCTTACCTCTAACGGCAACACTACAAGTTCAAATTGCTGCATAGCATCTTCCGAGGCCCCTATTGCCAACATGAAAACAGAAGCTCCCGAGATAAGCACGCTATAAAGCATAGCTTTGTTTTCCAATAAGGATTCCATGAAAGGACGGCCCTGGAAAAAGATCATTTCGGGTTCACAATGACAATGCTTGAAAAGGATCTGCTTTCAACTTACCCTGTAATTTACAGCAAAAGTGCATACTTGCAATGCCATAGAAATTATATAAACACTAGTGTTAAGGATACTTGGTGTGAATTTGGCTTCGAGATCAACCTTTTCGTCGCTGTAAACAAATCTATGAGCAAAATGACAAAGCACTGAACTTCTTCATGTCACCACTTCTTACAATGCTGGCAGGACTCCAAAAAAAACTCACCTCGGGGAGGCGGCATGAGCATTGT